GCCATCTAAAGGCCTTTTAATTATGCAACGGGAAACAGCGATGACCGTTTGCATTGAATAGTCACTCAACATTAAGTTAAAACCAGACCAACGCAGGACTAGAAAGATCGGGAACGGAGTGGATTTTGTCCGCCGTATGATACGGAAGACCGAGTTAGTCCTGTGGCCCGTGCGTCGAAATATACTTTTTTCTTGGACGAATTGCCGCACTGCCGGCCGCAGACGCAAGTTTTTAGACTGTCTGGAGTTGGATGTGTCAGCACAGCAAAGTCTCAGTACTAGAGTCAAGTTTCTTATAGGGCGAATTTATAGGAGCAAGTAGGCAGTTTTTGACTTTATCAGCCATCCCTGGGACTAAAAACGAGTTCATTTTACGAGAACAAGGGTGTATGCATTTCGTATTGGAAAGTACCTAATTTCATGGACTAAATAGGAGGCCGTCTTGACGCCCAATTAACCCCAACATTGTTGTTTCAGCTTCGAGTGTCAAATACAGACGGATCTGCAACCAGTGAATATACAGTGGCTGCACAATGGACAAGAACTGCGAGAATCGACCAAGTACGAGACAACCTTCGTCGAGGAACTGGGCACCGCTCGCCTGACAGTTAAGGAGGTCGGTCCGTCTGATGCCGGAGAGTACGCCTGCGTTGTAACTCGGGACATTATAGAGGTGTTAGGTCGCCAACCGGAGAAGCAAACCATCATCAGTCAAACAATTGTAACACTTACAGGTACCACAGTACATAAATGCCGTATACAAACTTTGCTCTGTCATGCTGAGAACTGCGTCTAAGGCGAAACTAATTTTTACTGTATTCTAGATGAAACAGTGGAGACTGAAGTTGAAGAAACTGTGGACACGGAGGAGCATATCCCAGCCGAGAAGGAAAGTGGTCTGTCATCACCCGTCTTCGAGGTGGAGCTTGCTCCGGTTCAAGTCACGGAAGGCGAAGAAATATACCTTTCGGCAGTTGTAAAGGGCGTCCCACAGCCTACAGAAGTCACCTGGAAGCATAATGGCGTTGTCCTTCACCAGGACAGCACGGACTCCCTACTCTACTATCTCCCGGAATCTGGACTCTGTGAACTCACCATCTCTGAGGCCTTCCCCGAGGATGCCGGTGTCTACGAAGTTGAGGCACAGAACCCCTACGGTATGGCAGTGTCGCAAACTGAAGTACTGGTCAACGACGCGGATTCAGCGGCTGGGACGTCGGTAGAAATGGCTTCGCCAATGGAGGACGTAATGCAGACAACAAGGGAGCCAGAAGTTGTCGTACAGCCGACTGAAGAGTCGATACCCATAGAAGTTCTCCAGGACACACGGGTGGAGACACCTTCCGTGAGTATGCCCTCAGACACAGAGGCTCAGCCCTCTGTACAGACAACCGAGGTCCAAGAACCCCGAGAGGCCCTGCCTC